TAGTAAGTATATTGCTGTTTCTCTGCAATTTCTTCACTGTATCAGCAGTGTTCTTTCTGCAGGCTGTTGCCTGGCTCTTCCTGCTCAGCAGTGCTCTCAGAAGCTTTGGCAAAATTAGTTTCTATGTTCAGCAGATCACTGTGCTGTCTGAGTTGCAAGCAGCAGCTGTGTAAAATCACAAAAAGATTTCTGTGTTGAAGTTAATGTATTTAACCTGAATCTTACCAGCTGACTGGTTAGACATTTTTAACAAGGATTGTCTGCCTCCAGTGTTTTTATGTTAATATTGGAAGCACTTGAAGGACTTTTCTGTGAATAGTAAAAGAAAACTCCTTTCCTGATAGTTGAATAAACTGAAACACAGGAAGCATCTTGGGCATTCTGACTTGCTTATTGCAGCTTTCCTCTTGGCTTTTGGGGGGGGGCGGTGATGACTCATCAAGTCAGGTGACTGTCTCTGCTGTGGGTCTGGAATTTCTTCCCTTTCTGCAGCAGGATGTTTCATCCCTGTGTGCTGAGTGGCAGGGGAAGGTTGGGAAGGACAGTCTTTTACTTGTAAACAGTGGGTGTTTAACTCGGGGGGCAGGGGGCAGGGGCTTCATCTGAACTGTGGATTTTTTTTCCTGTGGTCTGCCACAAAGCAAGGTAAGACGCTTTCTGCATTTATAGCATATGGCCAGTCTTCAGGCCTTCACTCCCTGATACTGAAAAGCATCTTTGACTTCTTTTTTTCCTGAGAGTTGTTTTACTTGATCTGGAGCTTACATTTCAGAGGTCCTTGGAGCTTGTGATGAGGAATCAGGTCTCTACACTGAGAGTCAAAAAAGTAATTGTGATAGAATATCAGGATTTTTTTTCTGTGAATATCAGAATGTCGTGAGGGGGAGGGAGAATCAACTCTAAAACCAAATTAATTTGCTGTAGAAAGTAGAGGTAAAAAACTAATAGACTTGTGGCCTGGCTTATTCAGTTATCTGTGGATTCATGTATAAAACACTGAATTATTTGTGGAGGGCTGAGGCAACCTACAGCTTGTTTTAACCATCTCATTCTGAAGCTAGTTCTGTTTTGGTAGAATACAGTCATGTTCAGACTAGAAAACTCCCTTGGAAGCATCTTTTGAAGTAGTGGGTTTTGGGTTTTTGGTTGTTCATTACAAAGATAATGCAGGGAGCAAATGCTTGCTAGCATCTTACATTCTATCCAACTTGTCTGCTCATGTTTTGGGGAGTTAAAGTAAAATAACTTTCATTTGTAGGCAGTTTAATGAACATTATTGTAAGACTAGACTAAATGTAGTAGCTAACCTCATGACTGGAGAAAGCCCTCTAAGAGGCTAGAAAAACTTGGCAGAATTCTAAGGTTTCTTGTTGTATTAATATGAAGCTAATTCTAGCTGGTGGTCAGTAGTTTGTGGTGACTAACCATGATCTCGACATCTGTTGGTCAGCATTGTGTGTGCTGATATCAGTGGATCCTAGGGAGGCAGCAGTTATCAGTCTCAAGCATTAAAGACCCTAAACACAGTATAAGATAAGACAAGATCCTTACGCTTGGGATTTAGTAACCAGGAATGGACTTGTAACCAACATAAGGGCACCAAACAGACATGTTGCAGAGCTGCACACTAGGAAATGTCTTTAAAATGTGTCTAGCACTTCCAAGAATGAGCCTTTTGAAGAAGTGTCAATGTTGAGGTGGCTTTGTAGCAGAGGCATAGTTTGGACCTGGGTACAGCATGGTATGGAGGCTGTCCTAGACCCAAGGTCTGCATGAGATAAGATTATAGAGGGAAGAGTGAGATGGCAGGCAGTGAGGCCTTGGTAAATCAGAGTTGCTTTGTGCATAGAGGTTAGGATTTGGAACTTGAAACTTCCCTTGACTTCTCCAGCAATTTAATGGAGGAATTCCATCATGCTTGATGTGGAGAGAGTGGTGGATAGGGAATATAGCTAGGAACACTCCAGATAAAGCACAGCAGAGTAGAGTGGGAACAGTAGGTTGGGGAGAAAAGTGAAGCCTGCAAGTCAGAATATATGTCTTCATCTGTCCTTGGAAAAATTGTGTTCAGGGTTGCTCCTTTACCATGTGTTTGTTTTGTGTTTTTTGTTTTTGGTTTGTTTTTTCTTTTTGTTTTTCTTTTTCTTTTTCTTTTTTTTTTTTTTT